CCCCTCCACCCCCGCCTCGTCTGCCATGTTAAACCAACGGGCTTGGCCCGAGCCCCACGTTGGCCCCACCAGCTCGTCTTACCCTTTCGCCAGGAGGACCAGGGGGGCCGTCACCACCAGAGTTGCCCTTTTGCAAAGAAACAAAACAACACGCCATGAAAAATACATATATCACCATCGCAGCTGCTTTGCACAAAGACTTCAAATGGCACCGAGCCCACGGTGGCACCACATGCCACCGGCCCCCCCAGCCCCTCTCGATTAATTATTCTGCATCAAGAGCAGCATCCAGCGAAATCGAGTGGCTGCTCGTTCCCCCCACGTTGCTTAAATAAAACCACAGGAAAGATAACGTCAGTGAGCTCAGGATATTTCCACCAGATAACGGCCTCCCTCTGAGAGATAAATGCCGCTGCAAAGACAAGGTATTTATCAAAAATTCATGCCAACACAAAGCTGAGATATTTATTTTTAAAGCCGGCAGCGCGGTGGTGACAACAGCTCACTACAAAAGCTTTGCCTCCATCATGCCCAGCGATTGATGGCCACTTAATCGGTCTCTGCAGCGGGTTCTGGAGCTGAGTGTGACTCTGGATTGGCTGGTAGATAGTAAAAAATTTTTTCCTAATATCCAACTTGAACCTACCTCCCTCTATTTTAAAACCATTACCCCTTGTCCTATCATAACTGGCCCTCCTGAACAGCCTCTCCCCATCTTTCCTGTAGGCCCCCTTGAGGTACTGGAAGACCGCTATAAGGTCACCCCGGAGCCTCCTCTTCTCCAGGCTGAACAGCCCCAACTCTTTCAGCCTGTCCTCATAGGAAAATGCTACTTAAACACCAAAAAATAGGGCTTAGTGGAATCGCCAGTGGATTGTAGGGCTGTGCTGGTCCCCGATGTGGGGGTGCTGCCTCCCATTCTGGGTTGCAGTGGCCCATAATTCATTCCTGTACTTGATGTCCTGCTGGAACATGGGCCAAGGCATTTTTAGGAGCTGCGAGACTACTTTAGGGGTGGGCTATGAGCCGTTTGGCTGGGTAATGAAGCTCAGGAGGGCTCAGCTTTCAAAATACAATGGAGAAAGGAGAGAATGGAAATGGAGGGCAATGAACCAGATGGTCTCTTATACCAACATTTTTTAGGACACCGTTCCACTGAGCTCCCCAAGACCTTACCTTTGGGCCGGGTTTCCCAGTGCTTCCCCTAGGGCCTCTTTCCCCACGTGGACCCTTAAAAAGACACAAAAGATGATATTTTAGCCCTTCTTGGCTCTCACAGCACTACACTGTGATCAGGCAAAGCACCCAGGCACGTGAGCTGCACCAGGTCAACAAGCTGTCCCACCAGCAGCAAGGGGACAACAGGAGCCTTCGTCACTGCCACTGGAGGTCTGATCCTGTGATGACCTCAAACCATGTTCACTGGTGAGCCCCAACCCCAAATCACTGCATCCCCTCTGCTTAGCTTCAACTGCTGAAGGCCAGATCCCACCCAGTGAGGACATAAACCAGATCCTGCTTTCTCCTGGTCTTATCGAGCTTTCAAAACACTCAAGAATGAAGAAAGGCATCGTTACCGTTGGACCGCGCTGCCCCCTTGGACCTGGTTTGCCAGGTGTCCCCTGGAACGAAAAAGATGAAGAGGAGTTAGTGGCTAGCATCAGAAGCTGTGCTTGCAGCAGATGAACCTGCAACGGAGCCTATTGCACACAAACTGCCCCAAAACCTCTCCGGTTCTCATTTGCAAAGAAAAGGACAGAGCACACCCTTGTCACTACACACCCTTGTCCAAAGCCCCTCTCCAGCTTTCTTGTAGCCCCTTTAGGTACTGGAGGGCTGCTAGAAGGTCTCCCCAGAACCTTCTCTTCTCCAGAGTGGGCTGCTAGAACTCTCTTAGCCTGTCTTCATAGAATACTCTTATTTATTTTCATTTATAATGCTCAGACAGTCCTGGACAGTAATTCCAATGTCCAGATGACATCTAACATCTGAGGGAAGGAGTCTCTTAAGAAAACATACCCCAAATCCTCGGAAACACCCCAAAGTCTTTCAACGATGAGGCCACCCACTCTGACCAGGCAGTCTCCTACAAAACCATCCAACGCACCAAAGCCAGCAGAAAGCTCAACTCTACACCCCAAAACCTACTCTGATCTTTGCTGGTCCTCGCACTCAGCTCTGGACGTGGGGAAGGGCTGGTCCTCGCCCCGGCCAGGCAGGTTGGCTCACACCGATGCACACACGTGTTGCAAGACCTGGGCTCTTAAATATTTCAGGAGCAACCGCAGCAGAGCAGCGTTCCTGCTCGGAGCCGTTGGTTTACACCACGCGAGCCAATTAAGCTGCCCCACATATTTACAAATCTTTCTTCATCTCTGTGAACTTTGTGCTAAACAAGTAATTTAAGACATTGTTTTGCAGCAGCGACAAAGCAGCGGGCTGATGAGATCTGACAGATGCACTCGGCTTCCTCTAATGGGGGACTGTGATTAATCCTGACAGGAAAAAAAAAGACAGAGACGGCTGGGTCCTAAATCTGGCATCATATTAAGCTCCATTACCCTGCGCCTAAAAGAAAACTAATGGCCTAGAGCTCGCTCCCGAAAACACTATTTTGGCTAGTGTCAAGTTACCAAAAAAATAGCCATAGATTTAACTTTCCTCCTTTGGACCTGCCGTCCGCTATCGTTATCGATCACCCGCCAAAGGAAGGGAAGGAAAGACTCGCTCTCTACGTCAGGAACACAGAATGCTTAAAATATCACTTGTCATTTTTTGCCCCAAATCCATCACCTCGTAATCTTGCCTTTCTGAGATTTGGCTCTCATTAACCAGGAGATCATAAAACAGAAGCTGGAAAACTTTACAATCAACTTTCTTCGGGCTACTAAAATCGGCCCTGCTGAATCCTCCTTGTTCTGCGGCTCCATTTAATAAACCCTGCTGGCACACCTTTTTTAATTAATTACAAAAATAATTTTAAAGTACTCCAGCTGGTTTTCCTTTAGCTACAGGAGGCTAAATTCAGAGCAGGCGGAGAGGAGTGTGTGCCACCTCCCTGCAGGTAGCATCCCCCCTCCTCTTCTTCCTCAATTCTATTTTTAAGCAAAATTTTCCCCTGCTTATTGCTGTCATTAATCATGCATACAGCACTGCGTACTGTTGCAAAGAATTTATATAGCACTGTAAATGTACACAGACCTATATTTTTCAAACAGAGATACTGAGGGAAAGGCATCTAAATTCAGATTATTTTCTAGGCACCCAAATAAATGGTTGGATTTCGGTACCTCCACGCACCCCCTGGGCTCTGTCAGATGGGGTGAGCAGGGAGATCTATTACTCTGTGCTAATGGCAGAGGCCTATTAGCTCTAAAAATAAGACCACTTATTCACATCTATTGATTCTAAGATCAAGTTTTGAAAATATCCAAGCGAGCTCGCCCAAGCTCGCCTCGGGCTGGCTGGGAACGGTCACAGCAATGAGCAACCGCTCGCCAAAGGTATGGTGATATTTAACAGGTCATGCTTCTCCAAAAACCCCAAACCTCCTTTTTTCACTCGGTTTTTAATTTTTATTTTCATGCAGCTGAAGAGCCAGAAGTGGTGGTTTCAGGTTTGGGGAGCCTTAGTGCTCTGGCCTCTGCCAGCACCAAAATTCAGCTGCTAAATCTGCTGGTACTGCTCTTCTGCCTTTGGTTTTCACCTTTTTTTTTATTACTTAAGGACTTGGGAAGACTACTTGTGTCACAGAACTAATGAGTTAGAAATCTTATTTCAGTTCCTAGATGATGATGATCATAAGAGACATGGGCAATTCATATTATTTTTGACACAAACAACTGCGTTGAATAGCATAATAATAATACCTTGTAAAAAGAAAAGACAAACAAATGATTTTTGGTTGTTTCAGCTGCAAATTGGGTTACTCCACAATGCACTGGAGAAGCAAATCTTAGAAACACTCTTCACTCTTTCTTGACTATATGTGGACATGCTCATAAAAAGAGCAAATTTAGTGGTCTCAGGAGAAACAGAGGGGGATTTATCAACTCTGACTCAACGAGGCTTAAATAAAGTTGATGGTCTCCATTTGGTTTGTGCAGTGTGATCCCAGCTCAGTCTATCATTCTGTATGTAATTGCATTTCACTTATTTCAAATTGGATGCTTGGGAGTAAAACAAAAAAAAAAGGAGGATACCAAAACAGTTACTGAAAAATCAGTATTTTTGCTACTCTTAAAAAATTTTCAAGCTGGGCTCCTTAGAGAAAAGGAGAGATTTGTCCATGAAAATTTTCCCTCTCTACTCTGCTCTCTCACATGCAAACACACCGAGAAAACAAGTGCATGCTGTTGGACTGGCTATGGAATGGTGTAAATGCTCCGATCACATGTTAGAAAGAAAAAAAAAATAGAATTACCATAAAATAAGTCAATTTATTTCTATTTGACAGAGGTTTGCCAGACCGTGCTCCCCATTTGGGGTAGATGAAGCCCTGACCCTGCTCCCCACACATGAAAACACCATCATTTCTCCCCAAACTCCTGTCTCCTTCCCTTACACCG